AGACAGACAGACAGACAGACAGACAGACAGACAGACAGACAGACAGACAGACAGAGAGGAATTTTATGAAATCCTTCAAGCATGATCGATTTACCAATTCAAGATGAGGTACTTTAGACGAAAATATGGCCAACAGCCAGTGTCATGTGATATGACGAAAGTCACGCCCTTTTTTTAGCAGAATGCGATGGGTCCTATTTACACTGGATCAGATTTAATGAAACGCAGCGGAGGTCTATATAACGTTATCGTGTGCACTGGCCCAGTGCCATGTTATGGCTTAACGAGACCCGATCTGACCATGCATCTAACCAATGGGAATCCGTTCAAATTACTGTCAAAATTCATTGAACTGCACAAACGGCCACCTGTCCAAAACACTCACCTGTACAAACGAACATTCGTCACTGTCCCTGTCGTTCTTTTTTTTAAATATCAGAATGACAGATTCAAAGATGGCGCCAGGCAAAGTCTATCATCTGTCCGTCTTGGGCAATTTCGACTGTACTTTGCTTTTATTTTCTGTTTCCCAGCAGTATTGGAGAAGGTGTCCACGGTTCATGAACTTCGCCATGGCGGGACTGGAAGCCTTGCATTACAACTCCTCGATTCTAGACTGGGAGGCAATGGGCTATGACGTAGTCCGCATGAACTTTCCGGAATGCAAATTCGGATTGCAGGTTCTGTGGGATAATGGAACCCCTATCATTCTGCACGCAGAAGAAGATGTGCAGGAGAGCTACTCCATGTGCCAATCTCGGGTAAGTCTTGGCTTCTATTCCAACCTTGTTTTCCGGTACTGTTAATATGTATTCATGTTTTTGTTCATCCTTATCCTCGTTGGATTGTATCGTTTTCTTATTTTATTTTATCAGCATTATCTGCTTTTTCCGTCCTTTCTGTTTTCTGTTTTTCTTCCGTCCTGCTATCCTTCTCCTTCTCTTAATAGCGTTGTAGTCCTCCTCTTCCTCCCCCTCCTCCTCCATCAACACCACCACGACCATCATCATCATCATCATCATCATCATCATCATCATCATCATCATCATCATTATCATCATCATCATCATCATCATCATCATCATCCTCCTCCTCATCATCATCATCATCATCATCATCATCATCATCATCAGAGCTTCCCCATTGGTTGTGGCTGTATTCGTTGAGAACGGTACTTCCCATCGTGAAGGAGACGGCTTGCCACTTTCATGGCAATTCTTATGGAGTTATTTGGACGAGTGGAGGTGCCGCTAAGTATATTGACAATGGAGCCTAAAAAGAGCCTCGCTCTGGCTCGAAGGTTTCTTTAAGGAGTCTGCCAGGCCCATTAATTAAGAAAACCCCCCCAAAAAATCACCATCATTCTTGTAAAAATAATAACCCAACTACAATAAACAAACAGAAAAAGATCTTGCAATTCTCATGTACAAGGAAAAGCTTTGAACTGGCCCAACAATTGCATCCGTGTGTGTGTGGGGGGGGGGAATCGGGGTGGGGGTGTTGATACTTAAACAACCCTCATTGAGTTGTACTGCTGAACGGTTATGAAGCACATTGTATTTTTATCTCCATGGAGAGGGCAGAGTTAAAGCTTTCGTTATAACAACTTATATTAAAATAAAGAAAGTTTCCTTGTTTTTTCTTTCAACGACATACGGTCGTCCTGCACTCTTACACGTGACATTGGAAATATGTCATGATTGTGCTTGCTGACAAAAAGATTCATACACAGGTCGTTAAATGTCTTTTTTTTCTACAAAGAAATAAGGTCGTCTTGCCCTCTTGCTTTTCTTCTTCAAAACAAGGTTTCTCTTTTCCAACGTTTACTTGCACAAAGCTCTCAGCTCTCTTTTACATGTTACTACGGCGCGTATCTAATTTTGCTGAAAACTCAATTCAGACTTAAACACATTGTAAAATATCTCTTGAAACGCTTTAACGGTACGAAACTTTGGCTACTCAAGGTTCCGGACAAACTTTTGCTCCGTATCTGTTACCACTATGATGATGAGCATAACATGGGGTGTGCACATTTTTAGTCCCGTCCACAGAGTCCAATGGGGTCTGGAAGTGAGGTTGGATAGTACAAATTTATCAAAACAACAATTAACTAAATTATGTTGAACTTTAAAGCATCATATAGGGGTTTCAGCATGAGTAGTCAGTGAGGCCAGGGGTGCATTAATGCCAAGCTTAATTGTGTCGGCGACTCGGCATTTACGTGTACATAAAAGGGTGGTCTCTTGTGTGTGTCCGCGAGCAAGCGGGACACTGGACAGTGACGACCAGCAGTGGCTTGCTGATTGTCTGTGTTGGTGTGATAGTTCAACCAATTATTTCGTTTATTATGTATTTACGTTTAATACCCCTTTGTACAGCATTGTAATCCAAATTTTCCACGCTAATCATTAAAGTGATTTGCCTTATTTTGAGCTTTAGTTACAAAAGGAAGGGACTGAAATCTTTGTAACATGACAGCCAACACACATAGAATACATAGCGAACAAAATTTACAATGGTTTACTTGGTACTTTACTTAGAGAATAGGTATCATTGCAGGCGGCACAGTGCCATGGCTGCTCTTCGCTCTTCTCCAGGATCCATGAAAGGGTCTGGTTGCTGATCGTGCCAGTTATCAGCTGGTTGGATATTCTTCTGGCTTTTCCACGCAGGTTGCTGTCTCTCCCCGACCATCTAGAGACACCAGCTTCCCTTAGTCTTTCAATAGAGTGTGATGTGGTGCCTTCATCCTCTCTGTGGTCGTTGAACCATGCTGTTAATGCTGCCATGACTGTTGGTGGATCTAATTGCATGATGCACATTAATTGCTTTTAACTCTTGCATGACAAGGACTAAAGATCCATACAATCCTTGTGAGTCTGCAGCTTTGTATTGCCTCTCGCCAGTTTGCATACACCATGTGTTTCTTCACTTTTTCGAGGGTACTCATCGAGTCAGTGACGAGGATGGCAGACTCATACGCCGTCGCCTTAATCCAGTTAAGGGCTTCTCTGATGGCTTTCATCTCCATGCACATACTGGACGTAGTTATACTAGTGGCGCCTGACAACTCTCTCTGTATGACCCCGTTTACACTGGCGCTGAAAGCACATCCAGATTTTACTAAACGCTGTACTGATCCACCTGTGAAGATGACTACGTCGCCCTCTTCACGCTTCTCCTCTATCAGCTAAATGGTCTATATTCTTAAGTTCAAAATCATGAAACTCTGGGTCGTTCCTGTTTTTAGGAAAGTTGAATGCTACCTCCGTTTTACTTTTGAGGTCTGAAAAGTGTGCGGTGTCTTCTAAAAAGTGAGGGGTAAGATCAGGTAGCCACAATTATATTAAAACATACTGATGACAAAGATAACCTGCAAAAATCGGAAAGGAATGGTATAAGCGCACACCCAAGTTAAGATGTAAACGTAAAATGTAAACTC